TGTTCAGAGATATGCTCGCCCACATGTCGAGTTGTACTCCCAGTACATATACCCAAGTACTGATTGGAAGTGAATGAATAAACATGACAACTCTTGAAGTTTGGTGATTTTGTCCTAGCAGTTAAACTTGTTTTTAAGCTGAAAATCACTTCTTCAGACAGACAGTTATTTTGAGAGAACAACTTTGAGAAAGATTTCTAATATGGTTTTTTAACATTTAATAATCATACAAGTACATATATTGAAGCTTAACTTGTTGTTTGAGTTATCGTATCTCTTAAACATTTCTTGAAGTCCCCATTGAATAACTTCCCTGCATATTATCTCAAGACAGTACAGTACATCTATTCAAAATCAGGATTTCACTATTCTCTTGGAGCTTAGACAGAGGGAACTATGAAATAAAAAACGTATCTTACCGTTGACATTAGTAAGCTTTCAATAAATCATAAGAAAGATGTAGTGCTGTGATGTTGAGATTGCCTCTTAGGTAAAGAGTAAATTTATAAGTGTCATTCTTACATAATTTTCATATCCTTCTCTGAAGGTTCCAACTCCTGTTGGTTCTTTCTAACAACCATATTCCTGTCATTACTTACCATCTTTTTTTCTTTTTATGACACAATGTTTTTAAGCAAATTTAGTTTCCTACTGATTGCTACTTCCTACACATCACCTTGTGCCCACATCCGTTATTAGGAAATTACATGTTGTTGTAGTGTTATTGCAAACTAAGTAAACCACACTTCACATTTTATTACAAGGTCATATCAGTTTAAAAGTGTTGGTCAAAATGTAACCGTATGTGTATATATCATTTTGGTTCTTCATGGACAAATCTGTCAAAAATAAATTATGAAACTTTTCAAGTAAAAATAATAATAATAATAATTTTGTGTTCTTCAAAATATCATATATTAACACTTTTTGTTACTGCCTTGGTATATTAAATCACCATGTGACCCCAAAGTAACCATCAGTTACCATACTGTAACTTTTAACTTGTTTTATGTATCTTCATGAAATTTTTCTAGCTTTTACTAAACATTACAAGTCTTTTGTGTACAAAAAAAAAAAACAGTTTGTAATTATGTATTTATACTAAAAATTTGTCCATGAATATATGGAGTCAGAATGTTAATTGCTCCGAGTGCAAAGTGCTTTTCAATTTAAGATTAAAAATACTTTTCTTCATCTGAAAATTATCAATTTTCATTTGTGTAATCTCTACAACTTTGCAAGTAAATATAAAACTTTTTTTTTTCACTAAAACTTTGTTGTTGCGTTTTCTTTAACTTAATTCAATACGCATCTGATCAATTTGACCAAACTTGTAACTACAATTATAAAAAATGTTAAATAAAATGAGTAGGACTGTTCTATCCTTTTTAGTATTGAACATGAAGTTCTAAAGTACTTCACCTGAGGGTTTCTACCTCTGATCTTTTCATATCTATTTCTTAGACTTATTTTACCATTGCAGCTGAAATATAAACCTGCCAAACATAATGCAATGAATCACCACTCCTGCCATTAGACCATTTAAGTAACACTGAAATATCATTAAGTACAGTAGTACTTAATAGTAGAGATAATCATGAAATGAAATGGAGGCCATAAAAATTATCTGTTTAAAACCACCTTTAAAATTTCTGAATATTGACAGTGACTATTTCACAGTATTGGCTGAACACAACTAAAGCTGATTGTACTTATAAATTGCTTTGTATGTGTTTATGGAGTGCATCATAATTTCAGTTCTGGAATGAATTTTCATCTAAGTAAGTAAGTAACTTTTCCAGACAAGCATAAGAAAAAAAATGATGAACCTTATTGCTCTACTTCTTTCACAGAACTCCTACATCTGTGGTCTCAAATATTCCTTACTCGTACCAAAAAGGATATATATCTATACATATATATATATAGGCAGT